TAATGCAGATTAGATATTTCAAAGGCTGTGTAATATTTTAGAGTGGGGCTGTGCTGTTTACACTCTTGATACCTTTCATATTCAATAATTTACTTTTCAAAAATTTTTTATTTTTATTTTATTAGTTCATGTTTATAGTACATGAATTTTACATTTCTCTTTGGAAATAAGTACATTTACATAAACACAGCTTGTTTCTTTTTAATTTTTTAAAATTTAGTTTGTTAGTATGTTTCCTTTTTAGTGCCTTTCCCCATCTCTCTCCCTCTCCCTCTGTCTCTAAATCCCCTTTCCACATTTTCATTCTTGTTGTTATTATTACTCTTACCTATTTATGACATACAATGTTTACATTTATTGTGGTTGTTAAGTTCTTGTACATGACATATCTAAAGTCTTCTTATATCATTGCTGCAAGAATACTTTGCTCTTGTTAGGTTCAAACTGCTGTTCTTGGTCAGGAGTAATTTTGTCCCCCATTCGGCACTGAGAAATGTCCGGAGACATTTTTAATTGTCACACAGGGGAGATGTCAGTAGAGGTCAAGAATGCTGCATATTGTCCTAAAATGTACTGGACAGTTTTTACCACAAAGAATCAGCAGGTGTAGATTGCCAGATTTTCTCACATAGAAGCAATCATGGGACATTTAACCTTCTGTGTTTGATTAATTTCACCTTACATTATGGTCTCAAAATTCATCCCTTTTCCTGCAGATGACTCAAGTTCACTCTTCTTAGTGGCTGAATACAAATCTGTTGAAAATCACGGTACTAATACTAGTTTAATTACTATGGTTATTGTCCATTGTATAAATTTCTTGTTTTTCTTTTTGGTACCGGGAATCATACTCAAGACACGGCGCTTGCCAGGAAGACACCATAGCACTGAAGTATACTTCTGGCCCCATTGTATAAATTCTTAAAGATTTGTTCTATATTATGCATTCATACGTACTCATACACTTTTTATAAAAATGCATAAATAGAATCCTACGCACTGTGTAAATGTTCTCTATGTTAGTGGAGTAATCTTTACCAGAATGACCCCTTCTCACTCAATAAAACCTGTGGACTTTTGGTAAATCAACTGCCACACTGCAGATTAGATATTTCCTTTTTGTGTTTTCTTTTTATTTTATGAAAAATAAAACACATTTTCATAATCAAATGATAAGAGAATGACAATACTTATTA